TCGGATTCTCTGTTTTTATGCCATAATTCACATCTAGTTTGTCGCTCCGTTTTATGTCCCGCTTCTCCTGTCTCACAGTTTTGCGCGATGTGCGCGTCGTTTTTTTTGTTTTTTTGTTTCGTTTTTTAACCCCCTAAGGTGCAGGGCGGTCAGGAAACGTGTCGATGGGGAAAAGGCAGACTGACATAAACCTTTTAAAACAACGGAAACAATTTCTGCAGTCTGATTATTGAAATTTAAAAGTGCTGTGTTGTTCTATCACCCCAGTTTCATACAGGACCACTTACAGCTCCGGTGTTAACGCTATAAAATGAACGCTCACTATCGTGGTGTCACCATGGAGGGATTTCTTTATTTCTTTATTTGAATGGGTTCATTTTTCAGAGGGATACAAAGTGAGGGTATCGTGATTTTAGCTTCCAGTAGCAGGAGCGGAGCTGCGCCAAGAAGTTAACAGAAGCTACAAACACTGAATAGAAGGAGAGCTGCCATCGATACCAAGCATGTTTTAATGTTACACAATACAGTTTTAGCAAGTTGCTCAAAGTCTAAACTGGCATTGTTGTGCATTTAAGGTGTAAAGTTTACCTTCGACCAAAGGCATCCCAGCGCCCCCCTTTTGTAAAAACTTCCGCCAGCGCCCCCTGCCGTCCTCTGAACGCCCCCCGGGGGGCGGTACCGCCCACGTTGAGAACCGCTATTATAGATACTGTAAATCATCCGATTTATTGTTCAGACCCATTATATTTGTTTCCAACAGGATAAAGTAACTTTTCCATAGCAACAGCTTTTGTTAGCAGTGGGAGGTCAGAGGTCACAGTAAAATGTTTCATCTTTGATTCTTTGTTCCTGTTCAGATTTTGATTATTTTTTAGTCCAAGTTGGCAGCAGTGCCCCCACTTTGCTGTGGTTAGGCTCTGATGGGGGTGAGTTGACCTTTAAACTGGGTGTTTCGCCTCCTGCAGGCCAACGACTACTCGGTGGAGGTGGACAGTGCTGCGGGCCTGGAGGCCAGCGTGGACTCCATGTCTTTAACTCTGCTGAGCACGCAGCGAGCCACGGACCGCTTCAAGACGCTGGCGGGCTCCAGCTGATGGGCTCGGTTCTGATGGTCCAGCTGGACCGGCTGCTCCCCCAATCACACAGGACGGCTCTTGTTTCTCTCTAATGAAATAAAATATTCACACTTTTGGCAGAAAGTTGTTTTATTGAACCTGATACTCAAATAAATATGATCGTGTCTGTTCCTGCTGAGGATCCGCGTCCCGCTGGTTTCCACGCTCCTACAGCGGGACGTGGTTCCGGATGTGGTTCCGGATGCTGTCGGCGATCTGCTCCGGGCTTTTGGTTCGGTTGTAGTAGTCCAGAAAGAGCCCGTCCGGACTAACCAGGTACAGCAGCACGCTGTGATCCACCATGTAGTCCCCATCCTCGTCCTTCGGCCCCGCGCTGGCGTAGACCCGGAAGTCCCGCCCCGCGTGACGCACCTCTTCCGGTGTCCCGGTTAGCCCGACCAGCCGCGGGTGGAAATCCCGGACGTACCGGGCCAGCGCCGCCACGTCGTCCCGCTCCGGGTCTACAGTGATGAAGAGCGGCTGCAGGCGCGGCAGGGCCGGGTCCCGGTCCAGAGCCGACACCACGGTGCTCAGCTTGTCCAGCTCGTCGGGGCAGATGTCGGGGCAGTGTGTGAAGCCGAAATACAGGAGGACCCAACGGCCCAGGAAGTCCTGCTTGGTCCGGCGGTGGCCCGTGTGGTCCAGCAGGCTGAACGTCCCCTGACCCAGAGCCACCGTCCGGAGCTGCTCCACTCGCTGCCGCTGCCGCCGTTGCTGCTTCTCCTGCTCCACCCACCACCACGCGCCCAGCAACCCCACCCCGACCAGCAGCGTCACCCCCAACCGGGTCTGCAGCTTCAGCGCGACCCGGGACGAGTCCGGAGTCCGGGACAGGGACCGGGTCAGAACCCGCTCAGGTCCACTCGGATACCGGTACTGGGCTGTCCGATGGAGACACAGCAGGACGCCACCACCTCCACGGAGGGTGCACCTCACTCTCAACATGGCTGACGGTTCCCTGCTGGCACATATAGGATATGGAGAATATGATAGAAAATGGAAAAAGAGGGAAAAAAATGTACAATATGAAAAGAATGAGAATGTGAACAACATTAGAGAAAATATGAAATAAAATATTTCATATTTCTCATGTTTTCTCTTGTTCTCTGTGAGAGCATTAGAGAACATGCAGCCACAACACCTGACTGATTATTAAACCAGGTATCAGGTTTCACTGGCTGATTAATTTCCGTGTAAATGTGGCAGAAACAGCAGGTATTAATATCAGGCTCTGGTGGTTTAGTGGAAGGACTGGAATTAGATTAAAGTTCAGATTTATAAATATAAAACCATACAGGGTTAGGGTTCATTTCCGTTTAGGAGCGTCATGCGCTTGACACGACCAATATGGCGGCCATCCAACAGTCCTGCTGTGTTGTAACTGACCTCTAGCAGCGCATTACAGCCGAACCGACACTGCTTTAACTCAGTGGACCTAACCTCCACAGAACCGACCGGCCAGACGAACTGAAGTGTTTTATTACAGAGAGAGAAAAACAGCTAGGTACCAGTTAGCATAAAACTAACAACGTGAGCTACACTTACCCTCTTGAGGTAATAGCTTTAAAGAGGTTCTGACCTCATGGTTCCGTTCAGAACTCACCTGCTTCCTCACCTGATCAGCACAGAACCATCTGCTTTTGCTGCCACTCACATCTGATTAAAACACACCACTGATGTTTCCACCCGGACTAGAAACACCGCCGGACTGCCTGCTGCTGAATGGTCCGTTCAAAAACGAAACCGTCCAATGACTGGCGGAGCTGCGGTGTTTTCCTTCGGGTTCGGAGTCTCCCAGTCCGTCTTCGGGTTCTGAAGGAGATTGACCCGATCACAACCAAAGTTCTGTGGAGGGAAAACCTCTCTGTGGAGGAATGTTCCTGTCGTTAGAGCTCAGAATACTAAGGGAACTCCTGTGGAGAAACTCAGAGCCCAAACCAGATCCTGGTTCTGACCAGAATCAGAACCGGGCCGGTATATTTGACATGGATTCAAATAACTTCATTAACTACAGTTGACAGGCTCTGCGGTCCAACAGAACCAGGATCTGGTTCCACCTGATAACTAGAACCAACACGCCATCTAAACAGGTTAACAAGCTGAATTATGGATCTTTGTCAGAACCACTCCAGAACCTTTTGCTTCGACCCGTTTCCCTCCAGGTTTATAAATCAGTTTTGGTTGTTTTTTTTTCTGAGTTGCTCCTGAAATAATAAATTTTTCCCTTCAATTGGGTCAGAACTTGAAACCCCTACAGATTGTTCCAGGTCCGAATTCAGTCTGCCGGTTCTGGAACAGATTATTAAACCAAATGAACTCACCAAGTGTTTCGGTATCGAGATGGTATATTATACCGGGTCAGAACCACGGAGAACAGAACTGGATGAAAAAAAGGACTTCCTGTCTGGGTCAGAACCAACAGAACAGATCAGAACCGGTTCTGCTCTGGTTCCATGTTTATCAAGAAGAGATAAACGGTTCTGGTTTCGGCCCATGAAGCTCTAACTGATCCTGTATATATTTCAGGTTCTGGTCCGGTCGGAACAATTTGGACCACTGACCCAGTATTACCAGAACCAGAACCAAGTGAGGCAGAAATTAGTTTCTGTTATCAGATCAGACACAACCTGAGATGAACAGAACCGTTTGGTTCTGAAACATTTGGTTTCATCTGATCTGGTTCTGCTACGGTTGTGATCTGGACTTCTCTAACACCTGACTGGTTCTGATCCCTTAAAATTCTTCTGGAGCTTTAACATGATGAGAGACATTATGGCACCCACAGCGTGACCTTTGACCTGCTGGAGAGAGGTCCATCCAGAACTTGTTCGGCCCAGTCCAGAACCCGCTTCAATTCAGAGTTCTAGGAGAAGGTTCTGGTAATCTGGGCCTGTGGGAACCGATCAGTCCAGATGAACCCAGAACATTTTCAAGGAACCAGCAGCTGGTTTCTGTAGAACCAAAAGACCCAATAAACCAGAACCAGAACCATGACATACCACTGAAACCCATCTGACCCGCTGCTGAACCTCGGAGGGTTTTGGACCGGTACCGAACCCTGACGGGTTTGGACCGGCTGCTGCAGTTCTGTCTGTTTCTGCTCTGAGGACGTGGCAGCTCCTCCCCCTCCTCACCCTCATTCTCCTTCTGACGCTGCGGACCAATCAGATGAGGAGAGCGGCTGCAGCTGGGCTGTGATTGGACAGAAGTTGGGCCGTCTGTGTGAGAGGAGAAGCTCTGCAGATCAGAACCAGAGGAGAGCCGGACGGCAGAAGCAGCGTCAGGTGAGTCTGCGGAGCCTCACCTAGGCTCACTTCCTGTTTGACCGTAAAAGGTCAGGATGAGGTCAGCCTGATCAAGAGCAGAGCTGGAGACCGGCTAGAAAACTACTGCTAGATGCTGGAAGAGGCTCCTGGAGGAGATCTATGCTGATCACATCTATGCTGATCATATCTATGGTGGTGAGATCTATAGTTTTTAGATCTATGGTGGTCAGAGCTACGGTGGTAGGATCTCTAGTTTTTTTAGATCTATGGTGGTTACATGTATAGTTTTTAGATCTATGTTTCTGTCTCTGCGTCAGTCTGGCAGGATGATCTGCTCAGTGTTGATCTGCTGGCTCCTCCTGGTTGCCAGGGGCGATGGGAAGCCCACAGAGCAGCGGACCAGGGTCCATCAGGAGGAGCCACTCAGCACCCTGCGACACGACGACAAGCAGAACTTTGACTACGACCACGAGGCGTTCCTCGGGCAAGACGAGGCCAAGGCCTTCGACCGCCTGTCGCCTGATGAGAGCAAACGTAGACTCAGGTCAGTATGGAGATTTTCCTTCTCTCTAACTTTCCCAGGCTCAGTCCCAGCAGCTGATCTGTCATGGAGGTGTCCTGAGGTTTTGTCTGCAGCTGGGTGTGGGTTCCCCTTCCTTACCTCAGGTCACCACCAAAGTGTCTTTGGATATTTGCTGTCCTGGTTTCTAAGAACTGAAGGTAAAAGACAAAAACATGGCTGACAACAGATGAGACTTTTTGTCATAAATTTTTTTAAAAACTGGAATTCATCTGAATCTTTTTAAAAGGAGTCACATAAATGCAAATTTCACCACAGTTGGAAAATCAAATTTGTGCCATTTCTGTACTGCGATCAGGGCCGCACAAAATCACTTTGAGGGCCACATATGTTCCCCGAGCTGCACTTTGGACACGCCTGGTCTCAACGATCCAAGCCCAGACCATGATACCACCCCCACCTGTCAGCGGGGCCTTTTCTCCACGTTCCCTGAGGAAGTCTGGGAACTCCTCCCAGTCTTCCCAGGCTTTGTTTCCAGAGCCTCTAATGGAGGCTGAACCGACCAAACCACTCGATTCAAAGGAGACCTGTTTGATTTCAGCAGAAACACTGAAAGGCAGTGAAATAACACCAGTTCAGCCACATGTTTCCTGAACATTTCCTAGCAGATAAACTGGAAATGTGCTGGATGGTACTTCTTGGTTCCCAGCCAATCAGTAGCCCGTGTGTGTAACGTGTATTACCAGCAGATGGCAGCATTGAGCTCTGCTCCTTGTTTGTCTTGCAGCATCATCGTGGATCGGATTGACAGCAACAAGGATGACTTTGTCTCGGAAGACGAGCTGAGGCTCTGGATCGAGGCCGTCCAGAGCCGGCACATGTTTGAGGATGTTGAACACCAGTGGAGCGAATTCGACCTGAACCAGGATGGCCTGATCAGCTGGGACGAATACAGGAACGTCACGTATGGCAGCTACCTGGGTAAGCAACTGCAGATCAGATGCAGTCCATGAAACGTATCAGGACCAACAGCTCTGACCTTGACCAACCTCTTCCAGACGGCCCTCTGACAGAGACGGAGTACAACTACACCCACATGATGGCAAGGGATGAGAGGCGCTTTAAGGTGGCCAACAGGGACAGAGACATGAGCGCAGACCGGCAGGAGTTCATGGCCTTCCTCCACCCAGAGAACCATGAGTACATGAAGCAGGTGGTGGTGCAGGTAGGGGCAGCATCAGGACAAGATACAGTGCTCAGGTGACTATCCTCAGGGTAACCTGTTTCTCTGCTGCCACAGGAAACCATGGAGGACATAGACAAGAACGGAGACGGCTTCATCGACCTCAAGGAGTACATCGGTAACGAATCCACAGCCAGGCTCAGGGCTGACCTTCATACTGACCTTTTCCAGCCAGGGTCATGTGACCTCACCTGGTTGGGGTCATGTGACTACTGGAGTGCTAACCTGTCCTGGTCTGCTGATCTGAGGAGAAACAAGAGATCAGCGGTTCTGGATCCACCTGGAGGTCTGATGGCAAATCCAGAACCATCAGAACTCTCAGTGAGGAGCAGCTCCTCCAACCAGGATCCTGATTCCTTCCATCGATATGGTCCTCTGGTCTTCTGGTCCATTGGTCCTCTGGTCCTCTGGTCCACCGGATACTGCATTCATCTCCCTGCTTTGCTTCCTGTGTGTTTCTGTGTTTCTTTGTTCTGGACTCTCCTGGCAGTAGACCCAGAGATCCGTTGCTGCAGGTTCGTCTCTGATCCTCCTCCCTTACCTTTCTTGTTGCCAGGTGACATGTTCACCGCAGAGAACGGATTGGAGGAACCGGAGTGGGTCGCCTCAGAGCGTCAGCAGTTCTCAGAGTTCAGAGACAAGAACCAGGACGGGAAGATGGACCGAGAGGAAACTCTGGACTGGATCCTCCCGGCAGACTACGACCATGCTGTCGCCGAGGCCAAGCACCTGTTGCATGAGTCTGACTCCAACAAGGTGGGTGTGAGTCCATCTGGTGTCGGCATCCAGCCCGGTTTTGTTTGACTGCCGTTTGTTTGTGTCCAGGACGGGAGACTTACCAAGGAGGAAATCCTCAACAAGTTTGACCTGTTTGTGGGAAGCCAGGTGACGAACTATGGCGAGGCGTTGCTGCGACACGATGAGTTCTAGAAACGTCCCAAGTCCATTGCTAATTTATTACTGACCTGTAGAGGAGAGAAGTTCTGCTCTGGGTTTTGATCTTGGTTCTGATCCGGTCTGCCTGGTAGATATTTGTCTGAGGAAGACCTGCAGGATTATTCCACTCTAAGTCTGGTTCTGCTCCTCGCTAGGAATAAACAAACCAAAAGAACATACACCCTCCCTCAGTTCAAAGGTATCACTCCATGGTCCATTCAAAAAGCAGCCCACGTCATCAGCCCTCCACCATCGTGCCTTACAGTTGGTCTGAAAATCTCTGTCCAAACAACCATCTAGACACTTCAAATGCAGCTTCTTAGGTTCTGACCTCTGACTCCACTAATTAATTAATTAATTAATTAATTAATTAGCATTAATTAGCAGCTACTTCCCTTTAACCTTTGAACTGAAGGAGAGTGTCAATGCTCAGATGTTGGATCTGGATGGAAGTGGTCAGATTCATACAGAGCTGCCACACCCCAAACGGCCACCAGAGGGCAGGTCAGCAGAAGATAACAGTGCAGAATCAGTCAGTTTGGGTTGGATCCCTGCCCTGGTACTGCCAGGTACTCGGTGCTCTGCCCCCTGGTGGCTGATGTAGCTCTTCCTGGTTTCACATCAACCGGTTCTGTTGGTGAAGCTGTTCAACTCTCAGCTGTTCTACAGAACTGTTTCTCTGGTTTGGACCCGCCTCCATCTACTCCTACCTCGCCCACTGTTGCTGACTGTTTTGTTGGTTTGAAGACACAACTTGTATTTTTGTATAATTGAGGACAAGCAGACAATAAATTGAATAGATTTTTATTTGTTTTTTGTTGCTTTTATCTAAACAAATGCATTCTACAATAAAATATCATCTGGTGTCTTTTATATAAACTGTATTTACATGTTGGTTGTTGATGTGGATCCTCTGAACTCAGATCTTTAAAAGTCCTTTGGGGAAGTCAAATGTCCTTCTGAGTTTTGCTCCAAACATTATGAAGCTGTGGACACCTCAGTCTTTGAAGAAACTTCAGACGCTTCCTCCATTTTCTTCCCAAACACCATTTCCATGATGCAGGCATTGAACTGGAAGACAGGGAGCAGGAAGTTATCCTGATGCTTTAGGAGAGGGAAGGAAATGTCTGGAGGGACCAGGTTGTCTTCCTCACCTGTTTGTTCATGAAGGCGTAGATGAGCGGGTTGTAGACGCAGGAGCTCTTGGAGAAGAACGCAGGGATGGTGACGAGCCGGTAGTCTTTGTTGGCTTCCTCTGAGTTGGCGTACCAGAGGCCCGTCAGGGCGTAGGGGCCGTAGCAGGTGACAAAGGAGCCCACCATCACGATGATCATCCTGGACACCTCCTTCTCAGCCTTCTGGGTGGAGGCGGACTCCGCCTGCTGCGCCGCAACCTACAGGAGGTTAGGAGAGGCTACATCAGAACCAGAACCAGCTCTGGTTCCCATTCAGCTCCACTGCCTCATCCTCCCTGAACTGCTGAGCAGAAGCCCTGACTTCCTGGCTTGAGCGAGCAGTGATGTACTCACGGCTCTCAGCGCGCCCAGCAGCTGCGAGTAGGAGAAGATGATGATGGACAGAGGCATGCAGAAGCAGGTGATCAGCAGGAAATACATGTAGCTGGTGCAGCCGTACTCCTCATTGTGGGTGTACCAGTCGGGTCCGCAGGAGCAGCCCAGGCCTTCCGGGATGTACCTGCACACAACAACTTTCCGTCAGCCGGAGGAACCGCCAGAAGCTGCTCTCAGTGGCGACAGACCTACCTGCTCCAGCCGAAGAAAGGCGGCGAGGCGCAGCCCACCCCCATGAACCAGGTGAAGACCACGGCGGCGGCGGCGTGGGAGCTGCCGAACTTGAAGGCTCCGAATGGTTTACAGATCACCAGGTACCTCTCGAAGGAGAGCACGGCAAGCGACCAGGACGTCACCAGACCTGCAGGAAGAACGTCATCATCATCATCATCAGCCACCTTTACCCACCAGCCCACCTCTCACCTGCCGGCCATACCTGCCACGGCGCCCATGGCCGCTTCCAATGCACACAAGGTGTAACCCAGGAAGTAGTAGCCCCTCAGACTGGCCACGAACACCTGGCTGACGGAGAAGGTGACGAAGATGAAGCCAGCGAAGGAGATGTTGACCAGGATGTAGTTGAGAGGAGCTCGGAGCTTCTTGTACTTGGCCGTGGCCAGGAGGACCAGCAGGTTCAGCGGCGTTCCCGCAAAGAAGACGAAGCCCATGAAGAGCGCCTGCAGGTGAAAGGCCCACGCCGGGGCCAGGTAGTGCTGGGACCCCTCGAAGGGGTCCACCTTGGAGATGTTCTCGTACAGGTGAAAATGTTTCCCCATCTTTACCCTGAGTTCCTCTGACCTCAGCGAGCGTCTTCATCTTCTTTATATACACCCATAAACCACTTAGAGCGAAGATAATCCGGCCGGCTTTTCCCAAACTTTACGGATTAAATCCTTCTGACGCTTTAATCTTCTTACGGAGAAGAAACAATGAAAACAGACTCGCATCACACAACTCATCCCGGTCAGACAGGAAGTTCGTTTTCAGACACAGTTTGGTTTTAGAGGTTGAATCTCATGAAAACTTCAACTAGTCCGATTTTTTTCTGGAGAAAAAAAGTTTGATTTGAAATGACTAGGACAGTCTGCAGCGGAAGAGGTTTGACTTCAGGGATTATCAATCTGTTCAAAAAGCACACTGACCTCCAGATTAACACGTCATAACGGTTTTCTCCAGGATCCACGCTAATCACGCACTTTTCATCAACACACCCCTTATTTAACTGGATTGTTATTGAAATTATCTGAATTATTTTGATCAACAGTTTTTCTTAATTCGCTTCCAATTAAAAACGATTTTCTTCTTATGGGAAAACCACAGAATAAATGCTTTTTATACCTGTGAGTTATTAAAGAAGTACTTTGTGCTTCCAGTGTTTCTGCTTAGACAGTAAAATGCTGCGCATCGAGCTGTAAACTGATGAAGAGGATCAGTGATGAAGAGCAGCTGGCTGGCCGGTAAAACCCAATAAGAACCTTTACTTTTCCGTGATTTCAGGTCTAATCCGGATGTTAAGACGTACCTGAGCGGGTCATCCACCTTAATCCGGCCCAATCCCGCAAACAAAGAGCTTAGACTCTAATGACTCCACAGCTCCTGGTTCTCCTCCCGCTGCTCCTGCTGCTGCTCCACTTCGAGCAGGAGGTCAGCAGGATGCGGAGCGGCAGCGCAACTCCCTCTCTGCCTCTTCATCACTTCATCTTCCTCATGAGGAAGTCTGCTGCTGGTTCTCCTCCCGGTTCTCCTTCGGAGCCGAGGCTGTATCGTAACCAGGCTGTGAACGGTCGAGCATGGGTATGATACGACCTCAGTTCGCTGGAGCCTCTCTGCGGTGGCTCCGGTCTCAGGTGTTCAGGTATGATCAGGTGTTTCGCGGTTTGTTTCTCTGCAGCTGATTCATGTTGAAGTGCGGTAATAAAATGTGAATAAAGCCTCTCTGTATGATTCTGGAGGATTTTTGTTTGTAATATTTGCAGTTGTTCCTTAACTTAGGATGAATGTTGAATGATGAAGCTGCGTTGCAGCATCAGGGACTTTCTACCTGACAGGTCAGGACCTGGAGGAACGAGTCTCTGTGGGGTTGAGGTTTCCCACAGGAGCCGTGAAAACCCAGAGAACCTGGCAGCAGTCCGAGTGGAACCCCGCAGCAGAAGCAGAGGAAGGTTTTCCTTTGACCTGAATTTCTAGAAACTGCAGAGGAACAGGAGATTAAACAATCAGAGCTTTGTGTCTGTGGCTCAGAAACCGGATCTGGATTTGGATCAGGATCAGGTAGGTTATCATCCTGGACGCTGCAGAGACCAGAACCGATCTGAACCCGAGAGATTTGAGCTGCTGCTCATATCTTGATGGATCAATATTATTACTAATAATTAATTAATGGGACTACTACTGATACCACTACTACTAAATAATAATAATAATAAATTCATCCTCTGTGTCAGGGATTGCTGTAAAGTCAACGACACAACGCCAGTGATTGTCGCCCCCTGCTGTTCAGGAGGAGTGATGCTCCTGATGATGATGAGTGATGAGGAGTGCGGGTTAATACAGAGCGCAGGTCCAGTCGTCCAGAGCCGTCCTGCATCCTGACTCCAGCAGCCCGGGATGGGCTCAGAGAGGCCCGGTAACGAGCCGATCATCTGGGTTTCATAAGACAGAAACTTTTAATCTACTTTGAATAATTAATTGAGCATCAAGATAACAAGGAATGTTCACCCAGGTGAAAAAAAGCATACTTTAGTATATTTCAAGCATACTTACTTTTGTGAAAGTACACTTTAAGTATACTAAGTATTAAGTGTACTACCTATAAATATATCTGAAGTATACTAAAAGTATGCTTGGACCAATTTCGAAATTAGAACTGTAAACACACTTAAACATAATTGTACCAAAATACACTTTTAATATATTAAATAAAAGTATATTTTGTTAAGTGAACAAAATATATATTTGCCCAAATATACACTTGCTCAAGTATATTTAAAATATACTTTGTGTATATTTTTAAAATATATGCTCAAAAGAGAATTTTTTTTAATTCACTTAACACTACTTTAGATTATTAATTTCAGTATGTTTTAAATTACATCTCAGTGTAAATTTTAGGCTAATAAAATATGCCTTTTTTACTTTCTTTATTTAACCGGGTGAACCCCGTTGAGATCCAGATCTCATTTTCAAGAGGGACCTGGGCAGAAGTCTGCAAGACGCAGCAACCTGGTTACAAAATAAAACTAATTAATACATATGCAGAAGTTTGTCTTTAGGCACCTATAAAGTACTTTTCATATAATTTTTAGGCATACATTTTAAGCACCTAAAAAGTATGCCTTTTTAGGTGCCTTAATATTTTACTATTTTTGTTAAAATTGCAAAGAATAAAAAAATGATAATCATGATGTAATGTTGTTTAAGAAAGTACCCAATCAATTTTCAGATATGATGAAAGATCTGTAATCAACAGGATTAGCTCCAGTTCACACTCCAGACCAGATGGTGGCTGTATTGCACACTTTCATTATTTTAAAAAGAAAACGCCATAAAGAGAAGAAAAAACTTGAACG